AACCGTGCCAAGCGCCCAACCACCCATCCTGGGTAGTTGGGCGCTTGGCACGGTTACAACATAGGCGAGGTGTTTATCTCGTCCAATAGGGTGATGAAAACTCTGATTTGTGGGGTCAAAACGAGACCACAGAGGTTCCACAGTGGGGTGGTGCGACGCAGTACACCAATGGGAGGAAAACCAGGGTTTCGAGTCTGTACAGTTATGTAGAGGACTCGAAAGCGCGAGGCTCATAACCTGTTAGAGATACTAGAGATCTACGATGAATGTAGATGTAACTGGAAATCTCTTGATGCGTTGAGAGAGAGAGAAACTATCTACATGCTATGACTGAGACTAAGTACTGGGAGCAAACAGTGGTGGTCACGTGATCTTCCAACATAACCCTCTTGGCGGGTTTCCGGTCAAGGGACCCGCGATTTTGGCGAGGTCTAGATCATGCCAGCAATTATTCGTCCTCTATTAATGGATTCGAACTGGGTAGTCGCTGTTTTGTATTTCATATCCAGAGGTGTGTTGGCCCAGAGGCTCGTTAGGCACACTTCAAATCTGCTAAGTCACAAAGTAAAATTTGATTCAAAATGGGTATGTAATTATTTCCCCTACCCGCATTTAGTGTAGGCCACTCACTGCGAAAATATAGCAGAACACCTCCTAAGGGGAGAGACATCAATTAACAGTCTGAAGATAAAATTACTCAAGCTTTGTACAATAGACAATATAGGAACACCCGTACAGTCTTAAATGGCTTCAAGCGCCATCATTAGTAGTTAAGTGAGCTATGAAAGGTGGGTCCAGATGAGTTGAGATTGCTGTTCACTGGCTCATCTTAACCTGATACTGGTTGGTTAAACAAAAACTACATTTTGAATTGATCATGACGGTTTGAAACCATAAACTAAAGCTTTCCGCCTCGCTATTATCTGTGTGAATCAGAGGATGGAAAGTTTGGACAATCGAGGGACTATGAGATAGGCAAAGTTGACCATTAAATAGCATCCTTGACAGCGATTCAGGGTCATGCTAAGTCATTTTCGATTGCTATCATCCTGAACTATGAAACCTCCGCCACGCCCGGACTCGTCAGTCAGTTCGAGACGTAGACTCTCTAACTCCTTGTGCATTGACTCCCGACTAGCATTTTCCTGAAGGCGTTCAAAGTCAAGAAGTTTTACCCCCTCTTCCGCGACGAGAAAGTTATATCGGTTCGCATCTCCATGTAAAAATCCCAATTCGTGGAGTTTTCTCAAAGTTGCTTCACAGATATCCAGATCCTGAATAGAAGCAGGTCGTCCTTCGATTTTCTCCAATAGAAATCCCATGATGCGTCCATTTTCATGAATATGGCCGAGGAAGCGTGGCGTCAGCCCGGAATACTTCAGCAGTTGATATGCTCTTGTTTCCCGTTCGATGCGAGGAATCTCCCATTCGAAACGAGCTATTTTAGCGATAACGGTCGCTGGCGTTTGGAAGATGATTGGGAGAATCGGATGCGAGATTGCTTCGAATGCCGATGCCGTGAGCAGCTTGGTTCTCTCTAACTCTAGGCAATCAAATAGGGCGTGGTGCCATTGACACTTGACGCCGGCTAATGGTCGGTTCGAGATGGAAGTTCTCAAGTCGCCGCTGGCTTCGTCTCGCGAAATGTGGGCAACTGTCCACTCATCGTACCAAGGAAGACTTGGCAGGGACTGAATAGGGAATGAAAGCGTGTCTCTGTCGAAAGTTTTGGGAGATATGATGATATATTTGACGTAATTTCCGATTCGCAGTCGATATTCACTTTCAAAAGAATCTTCATCATCCACTTCCATGGAGAGAACAACCGGATGCATTGGCTTCTCTGGATGTTGGTAGGGAGACATATCCATCAATGCATCTCACTATGATCGAAAACTGGGTTTATAATATATGTTTGAAATTACCTGAACCACCGCTGTGTTTGCTATTTTTCTACTTTTCTACTTTCGGAAGAAGATGGTAAGGTACTCTATTGTCTAAAATGATCGACATCCTTGGAATGTATGGGATTGTCAGGAATGTCGAGCGGGGTAAAGCAGGCAAGGGTAGTCTAGCCCCGGCCACCGTCTCAGCTCAGCGGCAAGGACTCGACGGCAATTTGCTCAATTAATTCAGCCACATATACATATCAGCGTTCAGTGCAACTTGTGCATGTAAATCGAGTCGAGAACTCAGCAGGTGATCATGTTTACAGAGTCTGCTGCAGTAGTGATTTTAGCTCCGTGGGTACCTGAAACACCAAACTCTACAAAACCCCACTCTTTGTGGATCCTTCATTGGTCCAGGTGTTTTTTTCTCTCTGAATTTGGAGAAAATGGAGTCAAATAACAAATGACGACCATGCATCTGTGTTACCTTCCTTGTCTTTATCTCAGTGTACTAGAGCCGCCAGCCCCAAATTCTCCCAAGCGCTTCCTGAGCCAACAGGAACCGAGGCAATATTCGGCGTCGCAGATATTAAATGGTGGCTTGGGGCAACATTCAAACAGTAGTAGCATCAGTTCTCAGTTGAGCTCTTCTATTATTGAATCAGCAAGAAGCAAACATTTAGAACGGCCCTCCATCGCTATACAAGATTCTCGATCGCACAAGTGAAGCTCTATTTATGCACTAGTCGCTTCTACCGATTATCAGCGAACGTACAAGTTGTTTGACAGCAGAAAATAGTAAGGAGAAGACTATTCCCCATATCTAAGTCTCGATTAACTTCCGATACCCTAACAGGTCAAAATGTGCGATTCAAAGTATATCCAATATACGTGTGGCAGCAAGAAGGAGTGGGAGTTCGAGCAGTGTTTGGAGCGCCAAGGAACAAACGTCAAATGCCATCCAGTCAGAAAGGTATTTGGCAAAAACTCGGCCAATTACTGTTCAAGGCACCTTGTCAAGCCAGACGCAGAGGTGAAATTCATGGATCAAATGGGACAAATCATGGAGGAATGAAGTACAGCATTGCACGCTGAGATAGATGGATTATGTCCGCTTTCTGGGTTCTCCTTTGTAATTTCAGTGAATGTGGCTGCAATACATAAGTATATGGACTCCACATGATTGTCATTCTCTTCTTCGAAAGTAGCCTCCTGTCCGAGCGGACACAGGCAGCTCGGGTGGCCGATTTTTACCCTCGTCACTCGATCTCCACAGGAGCTGTGCCTGTTCACACCACTGAAAATGCTCCATAAAGCTCTCTTGCGCATACACTTTATCTCAAGCCTCGTATCCCCATTTCGTGCTCTTGGTACCGATAATGCCTTTTTCAATACCAAGTTGACACCCAGCACACGAGATTCCGCGTTCCGCTCTGTAAGTCTGTTTGTCGTAATACGGAAGTGCACACGATCCCATGAAATTGATTTTTTGGTTTCGGTCTAAGCCCGCTGATTGGGCTTGCGGAAGTCTAAACGGTTGCCGTCTGCAAGCCAGAGTGGCCTGATGGAGAGAAACGATCGTAATGCGGGAATGTTGTACAGATTCATTCATCGAGTATATTCCAGGCAAGGCCTTAAATGACCTCAGTTGGTCTAAGTCGGCTTTAGTCATGTGAAATTGCTTTCGGACTGAGGCGAGAGTCCGCACTTGGGTTTCCGAAGACCACTGGAGGCAATTAAAACAGCACCTCTTCCAAACTAGGAGGGATATAAAACCGCCGAATTCGCCGCAAAAACTGCACGCTTTAGTACATAATGCGTTGTAAAAGTCAAGTAGAGAAATGCCGATGGCAAGTCGTGTTCGTAACAAAGCACAGAAGAGGTTCAGACCATAAGAGACTACCCTCTGATACTGGCTGAGAGAATCTACCATTTGTCTTGATCGGAGATTTAATTGTCGAAATTTGAACAGAGAATGCATGTCCAGACAGTGTAACGTGTCAAATAAGAGCTCGAGGGGTAGCCGGTCGAGAGAGCCGACTCCAACATTTGATGTCCGCTGAAAGGGGGTTGCTATTGACAGGCGAATATCGACGTGTTCACGGGGCGAGAACCAGATGACGGATAGACAATAGTCTCTGCGGTGGTAGGCGGTGGTTCGAACAATGGCTTCGGTTTGTTCTTCGTCGAAATAGTGTTCGGTGGTGGAACGATATCCACGGGGCATAATGGTAGTCATTCTGGAGGTTTGTCCGATACGAGGTGGAAGGGGTAAATCTTGGCAAGAATCGACCCATAACTTGCTGGCCCAGAAGGGATTACTTAAGCGAGTACAAGATCTATGCTGTCATTAGAAGAAAAAAAAAGCATAGTTAATTGGCTCTTACTCGGTGTACTTGGGCTGCCTGAGATGATTCGCGAACAGATCTTTATAGAGCGGAGAGGCAGCGGCTTGAAAGACCGAGGCTTTATACCCGTACTGCATCTGAGACAAGCTGCCCTCGTATTACTATCACAAACGTCCTTCCAACACGGACCGTACAAGGAAGCCGGGTCGTCCACGCCCCCGTCTCTGGAGAACGCCACTACTCTATCAATCGACCTGCCTGTACTTCATATCCCAGGCCCTCTTGATCTTGTCGTGAAGGAGTATCGTACCCGGCAGCAGTCATGTTTGTATGATGAAGTTTTGAAAGCCGAGGTCAGAAAGACCTGCGATGTAGCTTTAGGTGACGGACTAGATCTGATGCAGATAGAGGAGGACAAACCCCAGAAAGAAAGTCATTTAGCTTTTCAATATATCCGTTGCTCGGCTTTGGTGTTTCATTTTCTTTATTCATTGCGATGATCTTGCCGGTTTTAACAATTTCGCTTGACGCTATCTGACTTTGAACGATCTCGCTATAACTCCTAATGGCGAAATCTCGATCATTAACAATAATCACTCCCTTGGTTTCTCTAGTCAAAGGGTTATATCTATTATTGTTCGCAATAACAGACCTCAACAAAGATGGGTCCAACTCAATCATCTCATCTTGCCAAGAGCTAACAGCTGAGATAAACGGCTTGCGGGATATGTTATCGTCTATGAGGGATGTCGGAAAAAGTGGCTTCCTTGAAGGTGTACAACAAAAAATGCAGTCAACATCGCTCAAGCGAGATTCAAGTTTCAGCAGAAAGTCTGAAGTCGTGTTATCCAAGAAATCAACGGAACAACGGGATCTCCAGTGCTTTTGATTCTCTTCGGACACAGTCGCGATCAGTTTGTCAACCCGATCCTTCGTTGAACTAACAAAGGTGATATTCTTCACTTCTTCGTCTCTCAATGTCAAAATTAGCCGGGTATGCCACAGAGCTTGTAGGCCACTGCCGAAAATCACAACACTTCCAACGTGTTTTCTCCATGAAAATGGAACCACAACGTTCATTGAGGTACGATAGCCAGTTACTTCCTCAGATGCGAGAATCCCACTTGGGTTGCCTTACTCATCACACAAGACGATGATTCCGCGGATTGGATCCTGTTGGCCGTCAGGACCAGCTGGGTATTCAACAACAAATTTGGTGCCAAGGCTCGAATCCGAGGCGAAGGGACGAAAAAGTGTACTCTGTCCATTGGGACGATTGGCAGCGGTAGGACCAGGCTGGTACTGACGCTCACCACACGAATGATCTTCGAAGGTTTGCTCCACAGTGCATCGGAAGGCGATTGCTTCGTCTTGAGAAAGATTGATTAAAAGGTCATGCATAGATGGTCGCATTGTTGAGCAATTGAATATGATTCATTTTCCCGGTTTGAAAGGTTCATAAATAATTTGAGGGAGGAAGGAAGATAGAGAAGCGTAGGCTATGAAAAAGAGTAAATGCAATATGTAGAAAACCCACAACCAGATCAGGCGTTGGGGAGCTGGGGTTGACATTTAAAGTGAGAACGTAGTGCTGACAGCGGTAGGGTTCCCGAGAGTACTTCCAGCTCGGGGGTAGGCCCCGGTCAAAGGATAAGCAGAGTCTCTGAGCGGAGCAAGCTATATAGGTCTGACATGGAGGCAACTATGGCCTGATAGTAACAAAGTTGATGTTCTCCTTTCTCTTATTTTAGAGCGTTTTGTTTTCACGCAACTACGGATCCAGAATCGAAAAGAGACGAAAAGAGATCAAAAAAACATACAACAGTGAGGATTCGCTGGTGGTCACCCACCCAACTACTAACTCACCGGCGTGTGGCTTAAGTACGGCTGAGCGGACGGGAAGCCCTGTTTTCCACACCCTATGGTCGTATGTGTCTTGCCAAAGGTGGAATATAAATATGATGTAAGACGTTCAAGGAAGTCTTTCTATGTATCGCAAGTGAGAGATGGCTTGCCTGGTGCCGCCCACAATTTCGCTAATTTAGCATATCCCACTGCACGTGTATAATGTACCTTATAATATGGAGAAATCCTATACAGTTACAATCCAACATTTGTGGGTGGGGAACTTTTACATCTGCTGACTATTGTGTGCACTCAGATGGTTGATAATGGACACTTGGAAACCATTTTGTTGTATTTAGGTGAAGCGGGTGTAGCTCTATCTCGAGAATATGCAGCGCCCCCAAACAGGGCTCTGGACGATGAATATCCAACGGGAAAACCCTATCACCTCTGATTGCCGACCACAGATACTAAATTTCAGTTCCATCGCAATCACAGTTTCCAGCCCACTTGACTGTACTTCGCGGGCCAAATGCCCGACTTTCCAGGGGCAATAATGCCATTGGGATCGATTGCATTTTTGATCACCTCATTGAATTTCAAGAAACTGCCATTGTTCCAGTTATATGTTCCCATGATTTGGTCCATAACAGCCAGATGGGTTCGATACTCTCCCCATCCGTTGGCTGCACAGTCATCAATAAGCGTCCTGATAAGCCACTGAACCTTTTTCTTTTGCTCATTGTCCTTCTTGTTGAACACAATACACACAATGTGGTCTACAGAGTGGCCCAAAGATTAATTACCGGAAAAGTTGCTGGGGGATTGTTGTGCTGACTTACGCATCTCTCTCATGCCGACCGTGAAGGTCCCGATGAAGTCCAAGCCAGCCTCTTGGCATCTCTTCTTGGTGATTCCGTATTGCAACATTGCATCTTCCCCGGCTACCTTTGCAATAGGAGAGAAGAACAGATGGGCGCCATTGGGGATCCAATCAATCCATTTGAGCTCGTCGTAGGTTGGAATACCTTGCATGGTTTTGTCACGGACACGAAGAATCGAGTTCTCGGGTGTCTCTTCCGGAAAGTAAAATTTAACACCAGGGATAACCGAGAAGGCCTCTTTAACAGTTTCCCAGAGAGCGCTGCGAATCCGCTCAGGTCCCTATGAGGCGTTAGCACGGAAATTCAGAACAGCACTGACACCAAGGGCTCACATAGAGAGCTCCATAAAAGTTCCAGCGTCCTAGGTTGAGCTGTTTTGCAATTCTATCCAAATCCTCATTAGATAGAGGCTCGGTCTTTGGCGAATATGATGCTTTATCGCCAAGCACTGCTGCGTCCAAGAGGATGTGACGGATGGTGGGTACATTTTGAAGTGCCATATTCAGACGAAGAGGCCGAATGATGTCAACCGCTTGCTTCAGGTCATCATCTTTGGGAAGTGTGATCAAGTAGGATTGATATCCCCCCGGGTTTGGCATTAGCCACATGCCAAGCTTCGTTACAATTCCCATGTTAGACTGGCTGAATAGTCCATCAATATATGGACCAAAGCCATAAGGGAAGAGGTGAGCGGTTTTATTCCAGGGTTGGTCTTCTGGCTTCAGGCCCATAGTCTCTGGGCGTTGAGGGTCTGGAAGAGCACCCATACCAGTTCGAAGGAGCTCGCCATTCGGTAACACGACCTCCATGCCACAGTGCATCATCCAGTGATCTGCGGGATATTCAGTGTAAGCATAGGCCGCAGACCGCGACTGGAGGTTTCCTTCACTTAGGTGTGACTAACCACCATAGGGCGTGTAGCCCACACCTCGCTCGGTGGTATTGCCAAGAACCGAACCACCACCAAGATCTGGCACATCAATCCAAAGTTTATCCCGAAGATTGTTGGCCACAAGGTAGTCATACAAACCATGAAATGTTACACCTTTACATTCGACGATCAGAAAACAAGTTGAAAGTTGAAATGAACGCTCTGAATACTGACCAGGCTCTACCAGGCAATAGGCCCCTTCAACGTTGACCTCCAGGACCTTGTTCATGTGTTTGCCCATGTCAATCACGATACTACCACTGACACGCGGCGCAGAACCACCATATCCGGAATTTCTGCCGATGGAGATGGGCCACAAGGGAAATGAGATCTTGTTGGCAAGTCGCACAATAGCTCTGTCCGAGAACGTCAGCGTTTCTTTGAGAATCTTCATTCCTGGTATTCCCGGGTTCCGTACTGTACATTTGCGACATTCCGAGGCGCAACAATTGCCGAGGCAAGAAAGTAGTCCTGTTCCAGTATATGATGGGGATCATGTGTATGTCTAGGGTTCATGTAAGATCCATCTTCAATCTGATCCTTCGAGAATATGACTTCGACATTTTCCGTGCCGACAATTTGACTAATCTCTTGAATGATTTCATTGAAATCACCGTTCGTCAACTTTGGCGGCAAAACCAAAGGTTTGAACTTCCACGGTTGGGCAGACGGGGAGGCTTTGGACATTTTGTCGAAATAAAAAGAGAGGGCGAATGATGTAGTCCCAAACAATAAAGAGAAGAGTGAAGAGGAAACGGGAAATTAGAATGAGTGAGACTGAACAGACTATTTAAAAGAAGTTTTAAACTACTTGCTCGGCTCAGGGCTTTGTTTCCGTTCCGTATCGCAGGTTCCAACCAGTGCTAATACGGGAAAGACAATATTGAAAGGCCCATGGTCTGGGTGAAATCGGTCTTCCTGGTCTTTAGCCGGTGGTGTGGGAATTTACCGCTAGGCTGTGGACATTCTCCGTGGGCCAGAGCGCACTGACGCCGCGCTCAACGCTCGGTGAAAGGGGGGTCAAAAGAACCACTAGAGTTCCACGGAAGTCTGCTAATTTGAGACTGGAATGGAGATCCTTGCAAATTACTTTCATCTAACTCTTGTTGGACTGTCTTCCAATCGGGGTGAAGGAGTTCTTCCGTTCACTCCCAAAGATGCGACAACCAAGGTCACCAAGTCTTGGTTGCTGTTCTATCTATAGATATCGCTGTTCGCTGCAATGATTGCAGTGGGCTCCAAGGTGCTTTGGACTTTTGCAGTTTTGAGTAGGTTCCAAAGACTGGCAATGATGTCGAAGGGTAAACCATTGCGGTGCTGTATCTGCACAGGTGGAGATGGCAGGATTGAACGGCAAGTATTTCCTGATGAAGTACCGTATAATGACATCACAATCGATTTTATTCAAGCCATTCACAGCTTTGAAAATGAAGAGTGTGGCAACTCCGCGGGGATTTACCACCCCCGCAAAGGCAGAGAGGATCATCAAAGAAGATCACAGGTACCCCGGGGTCCGAGGCTATGCTCAGATGAGGTAAGCACACCGGCCCAGGAGCCCCAGAGCCTTCCGGGGCCTTCCTGGAGTCCCGGGTCACGATGGAAGTGCATCAACCGTTTCTGGATGCATTATAATGTCACTTTACCATCACTATCATCACTATCATCACCATCGCTGTCATCAACCAGGTCGAGTCGCGTTGAGACTCATGAGCTGACTTCTTCACCAGAAATCTCTAAATAGCCATTCTTAATATCAGTATGGAATGCCCTCTCTGCACTGCCAAATTCTGCCGTCTGCAACATTTGGAGCGCGATGTCCATCTCTTGACTCGTAAGCCCATCACGGACATCCATCATTGGTTGGATTCGAACACTGCCCATCAAAATCCTTATTAATTTCTCCACTGGTCCTAGATGAGAGCCCTCGGCCATACACGTGTATATTCTGTGGACAGCCTTTCAATCGGCGGTAAGGTCCCACCCGATGTGTTGAGAACGTAATGGAGCTAAAAATCAAACTCAAGTGACGCACTCAAGCGGCACTGGAGGTCGTGCAAATCACGTCTGAACAAGGGCTTTAGTATCCCGTTTTCCCCTAATCGTGTCAGCGGAAGGAAGAGGAGAGCATGCGATAGATGCTCCAAGTTGAAACGGGCCTGCGATTCGTGCTTCCCTTGTGGCACATGTCTCACGAGGCAAAATGAGTGCTCCTACAACGGCGTGCAAAAGCAGATGACGATAGATTCACCCAGCTCTGGTTCCTCGACGAAGTTGCATCCTGAAGATGGGCAGCTCGCGAGGCCTCCTGGTCTGAACACTCAACCTTCATTCCTAGAATTAGCACAGCCTACCTCCTTAGCCCACATGAACTCGGCTCTATCGCCAGACATGTCCCCGTACCTACCATCCCTCGAATATATAGAAGCAACATTGTGGCCGCTTGATCTCTCGATATCATCACGGAATGCCTCTTGGGCCGAGGTTTGTCCCGACAATGAGAATTTACTGGTCAAATTTGACTTCCTGTCAAGTCTTACGAGTGCAAACGGGTTTGCCAACTCTTTTCGTTGTGGAAGTCTGTTTCAACGACAGCAGATTGCCTTGATGGAGGGAATTGACTGGGAAATTACGACAAAAAAAGCCTCTAGCTTCTTTGGTGCCTCCAATGCCTCTAGCACACCTATTACAGCCACTAACACGGAAACACCATGCAACACGGACAGAATGCTGCAGAGAACATGGGGATGGGATGGCTCATCAACTTTAAAGACTCCAAGGCTCCATTTGGCACAAGAATTTCCCTGCCTTTACGATTGGTCTTATCATCCACTGGCATTGAAAAGCCAGCAGATCCTTGATAGACTGAGGGATACCGTTCAACATAAACCGAGGAACAGTTTAATCACTCTTGAATGGTCGGAACTTGTCGAGCAAACTTGCTTAATCTTCTTCTCTCCTCCTAATATCTGCAAATTTCTACGAATCTTCTGGTCCTCGTGGTACCCAAATTGTCCTATTGTTCACAGACCAACCTTTGATCCGCTCAGTGTCCCACCGTCTCTTCTATCGTCGATGGTTATCATTGGGGCCTGCCTATCCCCAGAAAAGAACGACAATTAAATTGCAAGAGCGTGGTTCAATCCGATAGAAGAGATGGTGTTTAATGATCGGTGGCTCGAGGAAGAATTTCCAACATCGAATTGGAATCAGAACATACAGGGTGCATCGAATCGCCTCAAATCTCTCCAGGCGGCTTATTTTGTCTGCCTATTTCAAAATTGGGAGGGCTCAGATATCAACAAGCGGCGAATCAGACGACATCGATATAATACGTTAATTGCAGTATGTTTTGTCCATATAATCTCTTCTGCGTATACTGCAGTTACGTGTGTCACAGAACGATCCCGTCTAATGAGTTCCAGATTGCTCGAGACCTCCAACCTGCTTCAGTTATTCACCTAGATACGTTGCTACTAAGTGACTATCAATCCTTTCAATGGGAGGATTTCATTGAAAAGGAAGAAAAAATTCGGTTTGCCAATTTTTGATTCAATCAAACGAGCAAATTTCTAACTTTTAATTTTACAGGACCTTGAATTACATATTTCTCCTAGATGGGGGCTTTATGATTTTCAACAACATGCCTCCTAGAATGGTCGTCGCCGAACTAAAAATGAGCATCAGTTGCCCGGAAGAATGCTTCCAGGCCCTTACCAGGAGAGAGTGCTTCGCAGCCATGAGCAAATGGGCAGAAAAGGTTCCTCAACATCCTCAGTACTCCATTTCGTCAGTACTTGAAACAATGTTCCAGCGGGATTTACACGAAGAGCAAAAACAGCTTTACGCTCACTTTGGAATCATCAACCTCTTCGTTCTAATCACTGGTTAGTTGAAATTTTCTCGGGTTCGTGTGGCTTTGATTGCTAACAAGCGCCTTTGAAAGCTTTACATATGCTGGTGTTCCACCTTCAAAACGCAATGGCACCTCCGGAAGCTTTTCAAAGAATTGAAAAAGCATTGCAAAACTGGAGAAATGTCTGGGCTCACCGAAAAAATATCCTTTGCCAGTCAGATGATGTTCTTGATGCTGATTCTTTGCCCCAAATGTGGAAGCGATCTGGCTTTATGGAAGATTCATTGGAGTTCTGGCTGCTTTGTAGTGTGATTTTGGAAAAAATCAGGCCAGCTGATAAGCGCGAGGACCGTAATACTGTGCCGGGACGTGTGCTTGAAAGATTTGATGAGACAAGCATGAAACAGGTGAACGATTTGATGAAGCAGTTTGAAAACGTCCCTCTTTCTGGGTAAAACTGGACTTAACATAATGTTTTTGATACCAACATTCTGACTCTGTAACTATTGTAGTGGGGGGACCTCGCCTTCCACTACGTATTGACCTTGCCTGTCCTGTCTTTACAAAGTAATTTAATTATGTAATCTTGGGGAGTCGGAGGATACAAGTAGTAGGAAGAGACAGATTGAATGAAACACACCTCTACACCTCTACACCTCTCTCTGAATTAACTTCTTGGACTGCATGTCCGCGTTCCTTTGTATGCGGAGTCGAGTATGAAACTGAACTGCGAGTGCTGAATCGACCCGTATGCCTCAGAGCATACAGCCTTGAGCGTTCCCCTCTTCACTAAGTAACTGTATAGGATGTGATGTGCTATTTGTGAATCTTCACAGATTTGACGCGGCCTTCATGTCATTTGAGAAAGACATTTCCGTAGCTGACTGCCTTTGTGTGTAATTCTGCTCTCGGATCTCTCTCTCTTGAGCCTTGTCACAATAATAGTTCTCACCATCATTTTTGCGTCTTCGTCAACTTTCGTGAAACAGACGCGGACTGACTAGTCTATGAAGATAACAAATGACTAACAAGAAAGGTATTTGCGCGCTCAATCCCTCGACGTCTTATAAAGACGAAGCGAAATTGATAATTGAGCATATTTCCAACAATTTCGGATCAAGTTTTTTTTCCTATGTCCACATGAAATAGGGAGCTTCGACATGTTTAATCTCAAGATCTGAATTTGTCATTGCTTGAAACGTGCAGGACAAGAGATAAAAATCATCCCAATTCTTCCATCCGAAAAAACAAAAGTTTTGTCTAACAACTTTCTTAAAAGATAGGTAGATGCTGTTTTAATTGCTTGTTTAAGATTTAACGCTAGATGCGGGGTCCCCGCATTTCGGATTTCATCTGTGTTACAAGGCTTTGATCCATGGGAAATCTCCAGGGCTCTCTCCACTGTACCTATTTTCCGCTGTCATATTTTATCATGTAGCGGGTGGGGGGTTCCTGGGTGTTTTTCATGCGCTACAAACCTACTCAATGAAGCGTGTGATGGTCATTCATCGTTGTCATTCTCATTTTGCTCCCCTCGCTGGTCCGAAGATTAACTGCACCGAGCCTTGCAAAGCCAGTGAGAGCCCCTGGATGTTGAAAGTGAATAGATGGTCGGGCAATTTCCAGAACATCGATTTCTTATGGATCATTAACTAGATCTGTGAAACATTCATTCACTGAGGTTGTAACTGAAGATCGGGAGTGCCGTGGGAATTGGTCCCTGAGTAAGAAATTCCGTCACACTATGGCATCTATGATACTTCTTGCGTTGCTATAAGACAAATTTTAAAAGTACCTATATGTACTTTACGCATCTTTGCAAAATTTCAATAGCGTTGTCACCTTCAATTCGCATGATTTTCCGTTGTACATCGCATATACCACATAGGCTACTGTGCTATGTGTTTAGGGGAGAGAAAATACGTCCTTCAAGCTAGCTCACACTTCCAATGATCTACGGGTGATGTAATTTTACCCGGAGGAGCCCGGAATTTGCGGATTACTATCCCATGGCAGAAGAGCCAAAAACGTTTGAAGGTGAAGGCAGATGCCCTATATAGAACTCATAAAATCTCCTCGCCCAGCCCTGCCGCCCAGCCGCACCACAAGTTTCCTGTCTAGTTCGTTCACGCGTCCAGCGTAGTTCTCTAGATCGTGAATCTCAACTTCCGTGACTCTTGGTTTAACTAACCCCTTGCGAACATATTCTGCAGCCTCCGCAAGATCTACACGATCGCCCGTGATGCTCCCAATGATCCGAATACCATAGTCGATCAAGGGAAGGGGATGAAGCGATATCTTTGAAGTAGACGGGGGAATGCCTACTGCAACAAGAGTTCCATGGTAATCCAGACAATTCAAGGCCTCTTCGTATGCTGCTGAAGCCCCAGCGCACACGATCATCGCAGAACAAAGCATGCCCCCTGTTTTCAGGAGCACAGCGCTCCGCAGGTTGTCCTCCTTTTCAAAGTTCAAATAGATCTCTGCTCCTGCATCCATACAGAGAAGCCTTCGCTGCTCTCCTCCGTCAATTGCGATGGGTCGATATCCCATCTGCTTAGCATATGACAAAGCCAACGATCCCACTGCACCCGCAGCGCCAGAAATACCAACCCACGAACCTATTGCGAGCTTCGCCACCTTGAGTGCTTTGTATGCCGTAACACCAGCACACATAATTGGTGCCAGCATCTTGCTAGGCACTCCTTCGGGAAGAGGCGTGACATATCTCTCCGGAACGACGGTATACCTGGCCAGGGTACCCGGCACATCACGCCCACCGAAAACCCGCTCTAGACATCGTGTCTCGTCATTCAGATCACCGTCACACACGCGACAGATTCCACATGCATCACGAATCCAGCCAACCCCGACCCGACGGCCGACCTTAGCTGCCTCGCTTGTGCAGGAAGATCCTACGGCGGAAATCCGGCCCACGCCCTCATGGCCTAGAATTGATTGACATGGGCCAAGGTAGCCATGGGCAAGCGAAAGGTCTGTCCCACAGAAACCAGTTACTTCTATTTCAACGAGAACCTCATGGGGCTTGATGGTTGGAATCGCGAGATTTTGTATTTCGAAGTAGAACTTGGGACCTTGCTTAAAAAACTCCTCTGTCAGAGACATCATTCGCCAGTCCTCATCGAGGAAACGAAATGCCTTACATTTTGAAGAACGGCAGCCACCTGATACGATGGCACTCTTTGCTTTGAACTGGAGCCCGTTGTAGGAAGTGTGGGAGGGGGAATTGGGGACGGCATTTCTTTCACAATCAGAATATTCCACCTGCAATAGCAGCAAACTTGAACATGATTCGGCAGGCCACTTCAGTGTGTAGTTTATATAGTTGCATATAAGAAATGAGCTTTGGGATTCGTGCCCTTTCGGATCTGTCCCACCCCCTCTCCACCGGCAGTTCTCCATATCTTCGGCAAATTTCCCCCACAATGTTCCTCGGCATAACCTCAACGCACACTCCTCCAACAATGCTAGCACCGAATTTTGGTTACAACATACATCCGAAGTCTCCAAGTCGGCTCCCACCTGATATCCGGGCGGGGAATGATGTAGAAATTCCGTCACGGGTGTGGAGGAAACCCGCTGACCCACTCTTCACCTGGCATTCAATACTTAACTCAAAGCAATCGGCTGTATCGAGTTTCCCCATATTGAGTCTTTGTCTTTTCCTTAGATCTCAAAATGTTCTACAATATTATCAACTCAGAGCGCCGGTCCGGAGACACTGCGACAGTTGTGAACCCCAGGACTAACGAAGTCCTTTGGGAGGTGACGGTCGCACATGAGACGGACCTTAACGACGCAGTCGAAGCTGCCAGGGTGTCATTTGACTCTTGGAAGGTCTTGTCTATCGAAGAAAGACAGAGATACCTACTCAAGCTAGCCGGTGAACTAGAGCAGCGAAGAGATGAAATACATGCCCCTCTAGCAGCGGAGACTGGCAAATCCGTAAGAAACTTCTCCCAAGTTGTGATCATTGGGAACATTGCTAAGAAGCTTCTTAGAATATCCTCGCAAATATAGAGATTGATGATACTTTGGCATTTATCAGGTTCAATGGTATTGCAAATCTACAGTCGGAAATGTTATTTTAGCAGGAAAAGCTGACCGGTCCAGCATCTCAGTCATTGCCCGATAAAGTGGAATACGAAGACAACAAACTCAAGATTGTTTCTACCCATCATCCTATAGGAGTGGTGGGTGCAATTTGCCCTTGGAATTTTCCGCTCGTGTTAGCCGCCGGCAAGATTGCTGCCGCACTCCTCATGGGAAATTCCATCATCGTCAAACCGTCGCCATTCAGTCCATGTTCCACTTTGAAATTCGTTGAGCTTGCGACATCCGTACTTCCGCGGGGTGTACTCCAGGCGCTCAACGGAGACAACGACATGGGCAGGCTCATTAGTATCCATCCGGGAATCGACAAGATCAGTTTCACCGGATCCATTGCGACTGGAAAGAAGGTTGCGGAAAGCGCGGCCAAGACCCTGAAACGAGTGACACTCGAGCTCGGTGGGAACGATGCAAGTGTCATCTGCCCCGACGTTGATATCAAACCCGTTGCTGCTAAGGTTGCTGCCGGGGCCTTTTTCCATTCGGGCCAGATGTGCGTTGCTACAAAAAGGGTCTATGTGCATGAGACTATTTTTGAAGAATTCCGGGACTCTTTTGTGGAGGCAGTCAAGAACATCAAAGTCGATCTTGCTGGTGACCAGTCACCTCTGTTCAGTCCGATCCAGAATGAGCAACAGTATAAGGTGGTCAACGATCTGATCGCTGATTGCAAGGAAAACAACTACACTTTGCTTTGCGGGGGTAATGCGGACGACAAGCACCCAGGTCTCTTTATCGCACCCGTTGTTGTGGACCAACCACCACATGATTCTCGCATCGTCCAAATGGAGCAATTTGGTCCTATCATTCCGCTTTCGAAGTGGTCTACTGAGGATGAAGTGATTTCGAGAGTCAATGGGACAGATACTGGCTTAGGGGCCTGCGTGTGGGCGAAGGATGTTGAGCATGCGGGGCGCATTGCACGAAAACTTGAAGTTGGAACCGTATGGATTAATAGCGCTGAAATGCCTAGCCCACACGCCTACTGTTCAGGCTGGAAGCAGAGTGGGATTGGAGGCGAGTGGGGGAACCAGGGGCTGATGTCATATTCTCACACACAGATACTTCAGTTGTGCAAGTAGACTATTCACGGCCGTCGCCACAGAGTGAACATTTGAAAATTTTAACGAAGAACCTGCTTAAATATAACCACAAGGAGATTGACAAGGCTTTTTTCTGCTTCTAAGATATTCTTCTCACTTCATTATCGTGAAGCTATTTCAGAAATTGGATTAACCCACAAAGCTTTACAATGAACCAATCTGTCAGCGCAATGGTACGATTATATCAACCTTGTTCCACAAGAGAGATTCAACATCGGAGTTGCGCTTGTGGATTTTTCACTTCAGGAAGATTGGGTTGATTTGATATTTGTTTATAAAGTCATAGCGTTTGATAATACATACAATCCTCTGATAGCTCAGCTGGAAGAGCGCAAGACTGTAATTGCCCTGTTCGTAAGGAACTTGTTATCTTGAGGTCCCTGGTTCGATCCCGGGTCAGAGGAATTTTTTGGGCAAATCAAATGGGCTTTTTGATTTGCCTTGGACGTTTTGATTCATCTTCTATCGCCTTTTTTTTTTTTTCACCCAATACTCATCTAATTGTTGTTACAGACTCTACACTGCGAAAGCTAATTTCGGCCCACTGGCAGCACCCCTGTGAGTCAACTCTCAATATACCTTCACATCCACACCTAGGCACCCGCACATGAATTGGTCAAAATGATTAAAAAAAAAGGTCAAGTAGGCCACACAAAATAGGATGAAACACGAGTTTGGGTAGAATAAGGAGCTTTTGGCAAGACTAGGTGCTATCTTGCACTTGTGTAGCTTGGTGCATCTAATGAGTCTTATCCAAGAGTGAGCACTTATGCCTCAACCCGGCAACCAGCCTCCCCGTTGGGCTCAAATTGAAAAAAAATCCATAGGCAACAACTTTGTACCCGCGATTTCCAGGCGGTAGCTGGGGGTCTGCTCTCGCTGTTACAAAAAGATTAATTTCGAGGACGACATCAACTGCAAAATGCCACAGACCCTCCCCTCCCTCCTGCGAAGTGAGATTCACCTACTTCAAGGCACGGGAAAAAAAAAGATATCAACATCCTACGTCGACTCGATTATCGCAATCAACAGCACGGATTCTTTGCCTGTCTCGACAATCATCGGGGTTAGATCACAAATGTCGTGACCTATCATCTAGGCCTTTCATCGACTGTCTGATGGCAAGTGACGGATGTTGAAGATTGCATGGAGTTTCAAATTTTGTGTTACAGTCTCTATCAATGATTGAAAAGCCGGAAAATAGTCGGGAAGAGTGTCCGGTTGCCCCTTCCATACCGGCTGGGCGAGGACTTCGGTCAAGGGAATTGCGATGAAAAGATTTGATGGAAAGCAGGGACGTGTGCTGATGTATGGGTTTGCAAATTTGCCACTTCCGATGAGACTGTACGGGTTTCATTCTCCCCATTACCAACTGACACTACACTGATGAAGTTTCCCAGCCCTCATATAGTGGCAATCTTCCTCGTCAAGACCTAGAAAACGATCATTTCCCTGTGGATATTTTCCCACTGTCTCGCGGAATTTGCAATCGAAGACTCTTTGTTAAACTCGTTTGAGGGAAACTTTAAAGCAAATCAACAAGCAGTGACAGACAAGGTGGTGGAACCGTTAAATTCGTCACATACACACATTGATAGCCTTGACCGCTAGAATCAGAAGCTGAAGTAAGAGACGTTGATCGTGTAATTATATTAACTCATGCTGAACTAAATCTTTGAACATAGAAAGATAAATAGGAAAGAAGGACTGATATATCCAACGCGGGAGGGGACATAAATCTCAGCACTGTGCGATCCGGACTAGCGCCACCGGCTTATGCCTTCTTTAATATGTAGACTGTGTTCACCATTTAGATTTGCATGGCAACAGCACAGATAGCTCCAAACACCACGGCCGCACCGGACAAAGTAGCACGACCGGCGGCGTTGAAGGGGATGATGCTAGGGCTGGGGCTAGGCTTGCCAGCGCTACCACCTGAAACAGGAGACGTGTGGGCCGCAAGGCCGGTAGAGGTCTTGGATGCTTGGCAAGCAGCATCGCAAAAAGCGACGACGCTAGTGAAAGTAGGGGTGACACGGGTAAGAGTGCCGGTGTGAGATTGACTTCCCACAGTGACTGAAGGACCATATGGGTATGTAGAAATCGAGGCAGAACCAGGTCCCTTAAGGCCAGTCCATACCGAGGTGGCAGAGACATCAGCAGGAATGGTGGAAGCTTCACCTGGCAGAACTCCAGGGACAATAGTCTCTCCAGGGGCAGCACCCGGCATAGTGGTGTCGCCGGGGACCATAGGGACAGTGGTCTCACCGGGATTGGCACCAGGAGTGGCGGGCTTTCCTGGGACAACATCGGGAGTAGTAGTCTCGCCAGGAATAACACCAGGGATAGTAGCATCACCGGGAACAACAGGAGGAGTAGCAGGCTTTTCGGGGACAACACCGGGAACAGTGGTCTCGCCGGGAATGACTGGGACAGTGGGCTTTCCTGGGATCACAGGGATGGTAGCCTCACC